ATCAGCCATCTACGTTAATAGAAGGCAGAGTTTGGACATCTGTCATGTATAGACTAGCTGAGATTTGCTCTGCTCACACACGTTAGTTATACAGAGCAGCATCCTTCCGAGCAGGATGGCTCACCACTTTAGACGTTTGGGGCTTGTCTTTACAGTCATGGGAAACATCTCGAGTGACAGGTGGGTTTTTTTTGAATATGGTACTTGCTTTCAACCATATGAGGAAAGACGACTTGGATACAAAACTCTGGTCTAGATTGTGAGAGCAGACAATTTTTAGAGCGTTCTCTTAGCTCATTTCACTTTCTGGGAGAAATGTAGTTAATACTCTAGCCTGTCACAAAGATCTGTGCGATTATGAAATTAATTATCTGGCAACTGGTTTGGGGCCACCCACATTTCTTGCTTCACTGTATTTTAATCATTAGCAGCAGCACTATGAGCTGCAGTGAATCCTTACATGTGAAAGCCTTACAGTGACAAAGGCTTATCCAAGAATTAACCTTACACTTGCATGTGTTGTGTGAATACATTTTATTCATTGACAGGAAATGACTAGCACAATTAGCGCTATACAGCATGACCATCGACAGGAACTCCTCGGCAGCATACCCAGTTTTAAAGGACTTGTGTGTGTGGTGTGACTGGCACCGGGTAGCAACCCACAATGTCACTCTTAATATTCGTTGGCCCTCCAGACTGCCTAGACTTTCCAGTCACTTCCATGCTAGAGTTGTCCGCTCTGACAATGCCACTTGTATTTTAGTTACTCGTGAGTGTTTGATGTAGGACTGTCATAGTAGCTAACACCAAATGTGAAGAGTTGTAATGCAGCTTAAGACAGGATCTGGAGCTGTAACAGAGATAACCCTTGCAGGCTGTAAGGTAAAGCTATGACTGCCCTGGATTACCCTAGACGGAGGTAGACAGTACCTCCTGCGTTCCAGTAGGTATTGTGAGAGCTGTCATTCACAGAATGCATGCAGTACATATTACTGGTTTAATTTTCTAGGTGAAGAATTTTTCAAGTGAATAAATGACGAACTTTTTTACAGTTACGATGATTTATAAAATCATCGATGTCAGGTCTTGTTTGAACCATGTAATACTTTACAATTTAGAGGGAGTCTTCAAACGTGGATGTAGTTCACCTGGTACCGAATGCTGCCATGGATAGAAAAGTAACCATTCTAGAATAATTCTCTGCAAAAATATTTGAACACTGTTACAAAGATGATGTATATGCTAGGTGAGAAGCAGTTTTCTAGTATTAGGAGGTGTAGCAGCAATATTTAATGCTTCTTTGACATGAGCTGAGCAGAATACATCTTTGAAGCAAATCTTACTTCCACACCTCTCTTCTAAAAACCGCTCACAATTTCTTTGACTTCTTAACTAGCAATTATTTGTTAGAATAGGCTGTAATTTATTTTTCCCTTAATCAACACAAATAGCCTGACTTTGAATGCAAAAGAAGGTCTGACTTTAAATTTGTTTTTAGATCCCTTTGTGAATTTTTTAAAAAAAGTACTTGAGTAGGTGGAAGTCTCAGCTTGTTCCTTAAAATGAATGAAGCACTGCCTTCAGCTCTTACGATCATGATTTCAGAGGTGGAAAAAGACATCTTAGAAAAGTAAAACAAATTGAATAGTTTGAGAGACTCTGTCAGGGTTAATCCAAATGTCTGTCATCTTCGGCATGCAGCGTGGAAGAAAGATACAAAAGCTGCTTTTGGCAAAGCGTGTGGCCGTAGTTTAAGGAAGACCTTACCTCTGCCAGAGAATTGACATTGATCTTCTCTAGAAATCTTGGTTCAGTAGTTTGTTTTCATGTCAGGAAGACACTCTCATACCAAAATATGTGCTAAACTTGTTAGCTTATGTAGTTTGGACACAGCCAGTTAATCATAGTAGTAGTGCTTTTTATGGACAGTCTTAAATGAATCATAATTTTAACAGGGTAACTTTAATGCTCAAATGCCAACAGTTTTGTGAATAATGCATGACCAGGAGTTAACACTTAAAAAGTGAAGTATTTGGGTTTGGTTATGTCCACAGTTGTTATGAAATGTCTGACAAAACAGTACCAATGGGAGTTTTGAGGAGATCTGAAAGTGGCGCTCTCCAGAGCATGCTTGTGATTTTTTTTTTTTTTTTAAATTAAACTAAACTTGGAAATTTGCTAAAGCTGTTAAAATGCAATCTTGTTGATATACAGCTATTTTCCTTTCTTATTCCAAGTCCGACATTGTGCTCATAATTTATTAGATGTTTGAAGCACAAAATACTGTTTTGGTCAGTTAAGTTTGCTGAGATTGTTTACTGAGTGACTAGGGACTGGTGTGAGTTTTATCTCGAGGAAACAAAGCATGCTCTGTATTTTAAGTGATTGCTTTGAAACCTGAAATTAACTGACACTCAGTGTAGAACACAAACCATACGCTGATTTAGATGAAACAGCTAAGATGTCATTCAGTTCCTCAGACCATCTGTAGTGCGGTCTAAAGGCACATAGATGTTCACTTGCTAATTGTGTACTGCTGTTGATGTGACTGATGAAAGTTAGATTAACAGTATGCCTAGGGCAGGCTTGATGCCTGTATGCTTACTGGGTCCTAAAGGAGTTGAATGTATTGTTAGGAGTTGCCACAGTTTGTACCCACGCTACAGACGATGTAAAGCTGCTTTAGTAAGATGAAGCAAACTTTAGTTGGTACATCTGTCAAATCTGAAGAAGTTCACTGAAGACTTCACAAATTGCAAGGGGATTCCAATGTCTTTTGACACCTCTGTGCTTCCTCATTCTGGTCTGCCTGTTGTGACAGTCTTGGGGTCCTCTGTACCAAACAAGGAAACTAGTCTTGGCTGCTGGTTTGTCCCATCACGTTGCACAAGTCCTTCAGGGAAAAAAAAAAGTCACATATATTCTGGCACTTACTTCCAGAATCTTTTGCTTCCTATATTTAAAAATGAGAATACTGTCTGAAGATTTATATTTTTCCTCTACCCATCTTTTATGAAGGTCTTTCAGTGGAGCAATGTTCTTCGTCCTGAATGAGAGGAACAGACTTTGAACTTTCAATATCCATCTACTCCAAAAAGTATCCATTTCTCCCAGGAATTTTGTTTTATAGAGCTACTAATAAGATAGGTATTTATTTACCTTCTAGTTTTCATGCTGACCAGTTGCTAAATATTTGCAGTGCATTGAATGTCCTCTGTTTAACTTGCTTCTTTTGAAAGCTTTCCCAAGAAACCTACCCACTGTTTTAGCTTCCAGTGCTTAATAAAAAACAGCGTTTGGTTGATTTGTGGTGCTAAACAGAGAACCATCTTCTCTCCCCCTCTGCACTGCTGCCGCCGCTGCTACCATCAATATGGTATTTGCATATTGATGGCTTTTAGGTACTTGCTAAGCTCATATGCTGTACTACTTGTTACAGATAAATAGAGGTGCCTCACTTAAAACAGATTAATCCAGAAACTCGCTAGTAACTTCCAGTATTTCCTAGTTCATCGTGGATGTGTGTTTTTTAAGGCAATGTGTTGTTTCCTTGAAACATGGAATTACACTGGTCAACTGGCAAAAACAGTTGCATCTAAAGTCAGTGGATGTTTTAAAACATTTCTGAATTTTAGCTTGGTTGGTCAGTTTGGTTTTTTTAACAAGACCTGGTTACTGAAGAACCTATAAATTGATACATTTAATGTTTTCTCTTCATTTGGGAAAAATTATATAGACTCTTGTTACCCTAGAGAAACCACTTGAAGTCCATACTCATCTAATACTTTTCTCTAGTTTATCATTGTTAGCTTAACTTGTTCTTTCTTCTTTTACTTATCTGTCCATGTTATCTGTCATGTATGATTTTATAGAATCATAGAATCGTTTAGGTTGGAAAAGACCTTTAAGATCATTGAGTCCAACCATAAACCTAACACTGCCAACTCCACCACTAAACCATGTCCTTATATGCCACATCTACACATCTTTTGAATACCTCCAGGGATGGTGACCCAGCCACTTCCCTGGGCAGCCTGTTCCAATGCTTGACAACCCTCTTGGTGAAGAAAGTTTTCTTAATATCCAATCTAAACCTCCCCTGGTGCAACTTGAGGCCATTTCCTCTCGTCCTATCACTTGTTACTTGGGAGAAGAGACCAACACCCACCTCGCTACAACCTCCTTTCAGGTAATGGAGAAATGTTTATGCAAGTCTTCTGAGTATAGTCCAATTCCTCACAGGACTTGTTCTCTAGACCCTTCACCAGCCTCGCTGCCCTTCTCTGGACACGCTCCAGCACCTCAACTTCCTGTTCTGTCCCTCCTTATGCACTGTATTAAAACAATAGTAATTCTTGGCATCTAATTTTGAAGTCTGCATGCAAATGTGGGGGGAGATGAGCTTTCAGTCTGTCCTTTTCTCTATGGAAGAGAGGGTGTTGCTGGCAACTGGTTGCATTCTGAATGTTTAGTTAGTAAGAGATGCATGGATTTAGCTGTTAGGACCGTATGTCCTGACAGACCGTCCAAACAGTTGTTCATGATTTCCTACATAGAAGAGGTGGCAGGCTGAAGATACAGGGCATAAATATAATTGAGGAGAATGTGTTTAGAGTGTAGTGAGTAGATGACTTCACAGGTTAGTAATTGAAAGAGTTCATACTAACAGTAAATTAGCACTGAAGTTCTGAGCTAATAATCTTGAATCGTCCAGCTTGAGATACCCTAAAGGCACGTGATCTGTCCCCCACCCTGTTCTCTTTTTAAAATAAGGTCAGTGAAACATTGGAGGTTATAGCTGACATTTAATAAATAAATAAAAAAGTAAGAACTGAAATGGCTAATGACCACCTTTTTGCCACTGCCAGGAGCTTCAGGTTTTTCTCCTGTAGAATACCAAATAAGGAACTTTTTTTTTTTATTTCTGCTGTTTAGAGCAAGCTTTGATAATAATACATTCTATTAAGACGCTTCCATTTTTTTCCTTCTCAATTTAGAATGACTTTTCCCATAGTGACTGCATGTCAAGTAATGAGACCAGTTTGCTAGAACGAACCACAGCACCTCATGATGGACTACCAATGGCTTCCCATAGACCTCAGCGAGAAGGTATGTCGTCTGAGGTTTCTTTTGAGGAACACTTTAAAGTTGGGGGTGTTTTTTGAACGCTAAACTCTGCCTGGAGGTGTAGAAATCTTGCATCTGTCTTGCTGTTCATCTGAATGAGAAACTGCAATGATTGGTAAGTATAATAGCTTCTCTGCTGCCTACTTGGTCTTTTCTTTATTGTAACAAGTTGTCATTCTTGTTAGCTGCTAATTATTAGTGACTGCATGCATGAAAATTGATTGCAAATAGGCTTCCTCCTGAAAAAAGAGGTGGAATTTGGGAGAAAACAAGAAAATTTAATGCAATTTTATTAACGATGTTTCGATTTTTGAAGCAAAACTAAACGTGAAGATAGTGTGAAACAGTGCATAGCTTTTGCTACTTGATTCAGTTGTATTTGATTAGTCTTAAAAAACAAACAAAGAAAGAAAAAACACGTATTAGGAGGTTTTGTACAAGTGGTAGTTTGGAGAAGTGAGAGGCTTTCTGTAGAAGTAAGTCATCTTTTGGCTCTGTTGGGGAGAATGAGAACAAGGCTTCAGAGCGTGAACAGCACTCTTCTGTGCAATTGCCAGCACAGTTTCTTCTCTTTGAAGAAAGGAGCTTTATTGAAAACAGATTTATTCTTACCCTTTATTCTCCAACAAGATTAGCGAATCACTTGTCTACTCAAAATTAGTCTACGCTATCTTGCAGATAGTGGAGAGCTGGCAATGTGGAAAAACTATTGCTATTCCTTTTGTCCTCATAAATGTCCTTTTGTCTCTACTGTGGAGATTTAATTACACTTTGAAGGCAGGCAATTTGAGAGTTTTAATTCCTTGAAAAAAAACACAGAGAAAGATTATGGCAGATTACAGACAACAAACCTGTTTCAAATCCTTTTACAGAGTTCAAAGTGTTCATATTCACAAATTAGAAACACAAAAGGGAGACTCTCTTTAGCAGCGCTCCTGAATTAAGTAACAGAAGCACAGAAAAGTTGAATAATTGAATCTAGCGAAGAGCTTAAATATTTCTCAGCATTCGTATTATCATAGTTAGAAACTAGAGTGAAGGATCAGAGTAATTTTGTGATATTTGCTATATAGGTACGTGATAGAAAGGGAGTCCCTGCTACAGAAACCTCGTTACTGGGTTAGAAATAGCACATGATAATAAAACACGTTTTTTATTCTCAGCTGTGATGAATATGATTTTTAGAAATCTTAACTCATACTTACAGTGGAAGCAGTGTCACGTATACATGCTTGACTTAATTGTCCTGAATGCATGTGTTGTGTCCAAAATAAATGTAGAAATGTAACGCGCCCAGTTGGCTTGTATATTCAAACATTTCTTCTCAGTCTAGCCATTTAGAATATTTAAAATGTGATTGTGGAAACAGAATTTTAAAGTGGTCTATTGAAACTGTGGAACTAAAGCTGTGCAGCAGCACTGTAATTACCTGTTTTATCACTTACTACAATGAAGCATGCAACAGCAACAAAAAGAAGTTAAGGAAGCTGAAGGTACTGCATTGGGTGGTAAAATTTCTTTATACTTGAGGACAAATATATTTAGCATTGAGAACATTCAATAGTTTAAACATAATCTCATTAGAAAAGAAGCTTGTCTGTGAATGTTAATGGTGTTAGTTTCCATAATTATGTATGCTAAATATAAGAATGTAGTGAAATGCAATTTAAACCACTATTCTCAGTTCCAGTCATGGGAATCAACTTTTTAACTAACTTATGAATATCAATTCAGCTGATGGTATGAATTTTAACATTGGCCATTAAGAAACTTTACTGCACCAAAACTCACGTTACGCCATAGTCGTTTTTCTAACAGTGCTTTTATCCATACCAGACAGGTAAAAATTAAGGTCACCAAACATTCGGCTTTTCACAGTACATAGATGTATGTTATTGTCTGGCATCCTTAGCTCATCTGATTTCTTTGCTTTGTAATAATTAATCTTCATTAACTGATGAAAATGAACTGATTGTTTAGCGCTCTAACTCCCAGGTAGAGGGTTACAACCAGTGAACACCAGCACACTCAGTATTTGTCCGTCTCTACTAAAAGAATTGGAAGCTGTAACGCTATCAATAGGTTTATATGCTGGCTTATTATTCCTTTAAGGAAATTGCTAATACTTAGTTCTCTTAGAACTGGCATTTTCGATGGGGATGATACTATAATTGTAACTTTAACAAAATTCATTAAAGATGCTTCAGTTAGATGAAATGGTAATTAGCTAATCTCCAAGAATAAGCTTTGTAACATACACTTGTAGGAGGTTGATTTTTTTATTATTATTATTATTATTTTTTATTATTGTTATGCATAGTTCCTAGTATATCCCATGTAAACATGCAGTTAAAAATTGAAAGGAAAACTTTAGCTGGTAACACCACCCTCCTCCCACCTCCCCCCAAAAAAGAAAAAGTTTCAAAAGCATTGAAAGGAAGCACTGATGGTGTAGGGCTGGTCGAACTGTTTTTTAAATAAATTTTTTTACATGTAAAGATGTGTTCATGCTTGTAAAGGAATAAAATTCTCTTGAATTCTTAGGTCAGCATAGCAGGAAAAGTGAAAAGCCCATCTCAGCTACATGAGGATTTTTATATAGAGTATTACCTGAACAATGTTATGTGCCCTCAAGAAAATCTCCAGACCCTGAAAGTCATATGGTGCTGCTTCTTATCAGGTCACAGCCAGAACTTGCCTATTCCTGAATACAGTAGGCTATGGGGAAGGAATGTTAAAGTAGCAAGTACTTTAAAGTACCTTTCTTCCTTTTCAGTTCAATTTAATGATAACTCTTTACAGTACGATTGTAGTAGCCTTCTGCTTCTCCTTTTCATTTTCTGTTTGCTAACACGCATTTCTGTCTCCTTCAGGCCTTCCCCAAGTGTTTCCTTCCACCTAAGTGCCTTTCAGAAATGTGGTTCTTCTGCCTTAGTTTGCTCTCATTACTACTTGATGTTTCAGAAACGTGGATGTGGAAGGCACTGTCACTGGCTTTTATCAGCACTTGTTACTTCTTGGAGTAAAGATGCAATTTGACTTCCTTTCATTGTCTTTTCACTTGTAGTGGTTATATTGTTGTATTTATGTGACTTTCAGTCTAAATAAGCTCTTGGGTAATGCACAGTTTCCCATGATCTGCAATGAAGGGGTTGTGGTCAGGCCAGAGAAATACTTTGTAGAGAGCAAGGCTCCACCTGCCCCCTGCAGTTTGTTATAGTAAAATAGCATGTGAGAAAGAGTGGGGTTGTGTGAGTCAGTAAATGGCATACAGTAATTCTCAGAGTGGCTAGGTAAGTAGATACATTTTAAAACTGTAATTTTGGCGTGTACAGTAAGGTGTTTTTCTTTCAGCTGTACACATTGACAAGATAACCCTGAAAGGAGTACCAAGAAAAAGGGCTGACAAACATTTGGAGTACACGTTCAAAGTAAGCAAATAAGCTCTAGAATATTAAAGTAAATGTCTTCGTGATACCTATGTATTGTAGATATATACAGCTTGTTTCAAATACCTGCTCAGAAGGCAGTTTTGAATTACATTAGGGTCTTCAGAGATTCTTGGAATTACCCTATAATTCTCTTGGATTCTATGTGCAGATCAGGTGTTTTATGTAATTGTGGGCATAAGGTGGGAAGGTGTAAAACACCGGCCATAGCTGGGTGTGTGGCATCACTTCAGGAAACTTGGCTTTTGCTAGTTTGGGGTAAGCATTACAAAGAACTCTAAAACCAGTTGATTGTTTGCTCAAGTGGCATAGGAGCGCAGTTCTTGTGTCTGCAGTAATATATTGCTTGGAGTCATATGGTCCTCTTAAATCTCTTTCATGAATGTTTACCATAAGAGGATGGTTCCTGTGGGTTTTGACAAAACTGGGGGTTGGTTTGTTTGTTTGTTTGGGGTTTGTTTGTTAAGGTAAAAACAAACAAGCTAAAAAATGTCAACAAACTTGAAGACCTACCTAGTATAGTCTTCATGTATTATAATAGCCACAGGCAACATATGAAACAATAATGTGAGTGAATGTTAAACAAAACTGAAATACTGCTTCTTACTACTTTGGAAAAGAAGCATTCGGTATTGAGGTTTGGTATTAAAGGCTGTAGGTGTTAAGTAATAGCTGCTGAGGCCGTTGGTGGCGATGTTCTAATTGAATCAAAGTAGTAATTTTCTTAGCAAGGACTGACTAACATTATGAGTCATTTGGCCAATAGATGTGACTCTGGTCAAACTCTATTTGAACATAGAGTTAAATTTTACCTTTTTTCCCCCAACAAAATAATGTTTTAGATGAAACATTGTAACTGGCCATTTGACATGGGTCATGGGAGCTCTTTGAAGAGGCAAACTTAAAAAAATGCCATTTTGAGCTGAAAACTGACGTGTTCGTCCCAAAATTTGATATTGAATTCTCTAAAGAGTTGTGAATTATAGAGTTTTGTCTTTTCTGGTATTACTAGAAGCTTAAAATTAGAATTAAGTTGACATGTGTACTATTTCTGTTTTTGAAGTCAAGTAGTGGCAACAGATACCTTGTTGTTGATCTTGTCTGAAGGTGAAATTTGCAAAAAATTCTGCACCCTTCTTTTGCTGAGGACAGTAATGTGGAATTTAGCCTTCAAAGTCTTAAAGGTTAACTTGCCCAAGTATTTCAACCTTGTCAAAGATCTTTTGTCCAAATACTCTGTGAACTGAGTACTAGGTAAAATACAATAGTAGGTAGGAGAGGTTTGTACAGAATGCCCATATGGATTGTTAATATTTAAAGTCACAAAACTATTTTGAAAATTCAGCGCATAGATGGATTTGACAGTGGTTTTGAATTTCTTTGTTAAAGGGGGAATGTGGAGATATTCTGGGAAGTATTTGAGTAAGCTTGAAACTCCTCCACCTCAGTTCTTTTAGGAAAGAGTTTCCTCTCCTCATCTGTGCAGGTATATACTGTGCTCCTCACTGCAGATCATTTTGTGCTTGCCCAGACACTGCTTTTTTAAGGTTATAACAGCAATTACAGTCATGGCTTCCCAACTGAGGGCACCAAGAGTAGTTGGCATTTCTGGGGACTAAGTTGAAGGCAGTTGGTGGTTGACGTTATCCTATCAACTCTTCGGAGTAAATGAATGTTTGTAATTGCCATGTCCACTCCCATTACACAGAATCTTCCCATGCATGTAATGGGAATCTTAAGCCCAGAAGTGGGCTTAAAGCCAGGCAGCACTCATCTAACCAAGCTTACTTCTTTTTTCTCAAAATATGCATGTGAAGGTGCTGTTTTACTACTTGCATGTTGTGTCAGAACAATAAGCTACTGAAAGTTTATACAAGCGTATACCAAAATGCTGTCTGATTCTTGAGTAACTTATTTAGTAACTTGCAGTACTTTCTATGAATTGTACCCTACAGCAACTTCTATATGACCATTTAAGATTCAAGCCTGAGGCAGGTAAAATTATTTTATAGGTAACATAAACAAAGAGGTTTTTTTTGTTTGGGTTTTTTTTTTGGTCTTGACTCATGATAATGGCAGCGAGAGCTCAATTCAGTACATCTGACCTACAGTCCTTTTCTCTGCTACCTGGTTTTTGCAGTTAATGATGTCTGTTTGACACAAGTCCTATAATTACAGAGCCTTCTGCCTGGCTTCTTTCTAAGTCAGTAAGCTAGTAATCTTCAGGGACTTCATTGCATTCACCTGAATTTACTCATACTCTCTCTAGCAACAAATAACATGAAGGTGACCTTAAAATGTACACTCAAAATCAGTATACGTCTTTGAAAAGGTACACCATTATCCCTGTTTTGCCTGGTATTTACTTACCTGCAAGTGTTAACCCTTCTACTGAGATGGAAATGTTAAGACCAGCAAACTGGTATGATACTTGGAAAAAGAAACTTTCCTCATTCTCTTTTCCTTCCTTACTAGGTAACCTGGTCCGATCTTTCGGTAACGTGTGTAACAAAAACACACCAGGAGCTTCAGGAATTCCTGCTAAAAGTATGTATTGAAATATAAAAGTAGTGTTTACACATCAGGTTTATAACTTCGGAAGTAGTCTAGGAGAGCTGTGATTTCTGGGGTGTCATTACAGAAACAAAAGCATGCTACCAGATTTTTGTACTTCACAATTGTATTAACTATTTAAATAATGTATATTGTGGTGGAGCAGCTTGACAGATAAAGCAGCTCAACAGAATATTTGGCGAGTTTCCCAGGAGGACATCGTTTGTCTCATCTGAAATTGCTCTTATAGTTTTAACTGAACTACCATAAAACTACCAGATGAGTTTTTAATATTCCCCACAGAGTTAATGTATAGGTACAAGCACTGGTTGTTTGCTGATTGGTGTCCCTGTTAGAATGACCTTAAGAGTATCATTTGTTGTTTCTAATTAATGAGGCAGAGCCATGAGCATAATAGTTCTTAATTTTACTGTTGTGTTCTTCAGTAGAACAAAGGCAGGCATATTTGCTATCGCAAGGAGTTAAATTTGAGAAAATCTAGCAACTATTTGTGCGTGTTTAAAAAAAGTAAAAGTTCTCTAAGCTGTTCTCCACCCCCTGCCCCAAGCAGGGAATGCATTTGTGTGCATAGGCCACATGTAGACCCCACGAGTGTGATGACCTCAAACAGTGTGTTTCATTGCCAGTGTCTAATTGTTTGGGTTCCACCTATTCTGGGAAATTCTGTATTTAAGCTCACTGTTCAGGGCACTAATGAAAGATCTGTTTTGGGCATGTTTTGATAGCATCTGTTGTTCTTAACTGCAGTGTTAATTACAAGTGGAAAGCCAGTTACTGTACAAAGGTCATTGTCTTGTTCACTGTTTCAATTATCAACATTATGTTTTCTAGTGTTGTAGAAATGAAGCAGTGAGTATTCACTACTGCTTTAATCTAGTTGGAATATCTAGTTCCAAGAGTTCCCAGAGCTTGATTTGTGAGGATTTGAATTATGGATGGCATTTCTGGTTGCGGATGGGGTGTCCCACAACATAGGGTACATGCATCTGCTCCTGAAGAGAACCTTAAAAGCAGGACTGTCATATGGGATCCCGTGCAGCTCTGGGATGAGTGTTCAACTGCATGCCTCCTGTTCTACCTGTAAAATAAAGACAAACACCAGTTTCTGAAACGGACCCTCTAGTACCTACATGCTGCCAGGAGGAGGAGCCAGGCAAACAGACAGGATCCAAAATGTTGCAGAGCTGTCCGGTTTGACTGATGGCAGCTCTTCAGATGCGGAGTGTTCCACATGCTGGCTTGACTGCTCCAGCAGAGTCTAGATATATAGAAGATGGCAGGACAAGAGGAGGACAACCACAGGCTGCTATGAGCTTGCTGAGGTGTTCTGTGGAGAATGTGCACAGCTGAAAAATATATTTGATTTGTGTTGGTTTGATAGCCGTAAGTAGAGAAGAAAGAGAGAATTGTTAAAGCAGGATAAAACACCTTACTTTAAAAAGCACCGTAGAAGTACGAATGCTGTCCGGTTCATATGCACTTGCATTTTGGCTTTTTGTTATTCTTATTTCCAGTCTGCATGGCATTGTTAAGTAGTATGCTCAATTTTCTAGGGAGAGAAAAGAACGGTCAAAATACTTGATAGGAAATTCCAAAGTTGTGGGTGATAGGAGTAAGATAACTGTAAAAATTGTTTCAGAATAGAAGCATCGGTGAGAAAAACTAAGGTAGTAAATGGGATAACTTGGATGCCTTATATTTAAAGAGCACCTTCTCTTACGTGATAAGCAGAAGTTGTTCTTCGCATGTAGGAAATTACCCACATATGTGGAAGGGCTAACAAACGTGTAGTAACAAGGCTATCTCATTACCTGAAGTTAAGATAGTAAGCACCTAATCTTGGGTTCGTGTAACTCTGAATCTTTAACTACAGAAGGAATTGAATTCCTTTTAATGAAAGTTTTAAAGAAAAAAAGCTGTGGCTGTTTCCGGAGACTAATTTAAATACAAAACACCAGGACAGGAGGTTTGCTCATCCCCATGCTTCTGCAGTAGCTTTTTGATACCTTTTGGTTAATACTGACTAATTTTTCAGTCAGAGTTCCTCAATAGCACATATTAAAGCTAAAGGGGTCAGTTAAGAAAAGCTGCTTTCAGCACTCCTTTCTGGTTTTATATCTTCAGGTGCTATAGCACTGTACTAATCTAATACTAACAACACCTGTCTGTCTGGAGTCTGTCTGTCCAGAAGTTCCTTTTATGTATGTTACCAAGCAATTATCTACATTAGACATAGTGTCTCTCTAATAGTATCACTTCATTCAGTGAAATAATTACTTAGTGCTTTGCTGTTGTACCACTAGCAGGATGTAATATCCAGCTGGCACTGTGGATTGGGTGTATTCCAGATACGCAAGAGGAAGATGCTGCTCTAGTGTAAATTACTTAGATCATAACTGATGGCAGATGTTAACCAGACTAGCAATAGCTTTTAACTTCAGGAAAAAGCATTTTTGCTATGGCATTTCACTTCTAATTGCTCCAAAATTAAAAGACCTTTTTTTTTTTTTTTAAATATAAATTAACAAATCTGATCAGCTTTCATGTACTTAAGTACATCATTTTGGAAGTGGTAAATGTGAAAAATCTTTGTTCTAGGGAATATTCTTCATTTAAAATAGACATGCTCTTTAGATGCAAGAATTTTGCCTTCTGAACTAGAACATCAGAAGACCTCACTTTGTAATACTGGCACTGGAAACAGTTATAATGAATTTTTGTAAGAAGTTTCAGTGTCAATAGCAACTGGAGAAGGACTTGCTATTGATTAATCTCATTATTGACCACTGAAGTCTAGTGTATCATATAATTGAAACAGTCTCCTTTCTACTCCTGTTTCTTTAAAATAATTTAATCTAGCTAAGTGATGCTAGTGAGTACAGTGCATTGAGTCCTCCCTGGTAATTTTTTTGTTATTTTCAGACCTACTTTCTGTGTGTGAAATATTTAAAAAATAAATTAAAAAAGGCTGTAAATTATTCTGGAAAAGAACATAGTTCTGGTAAATTTCTGAATGTAATTCTTTCAAATAGCTTTAAACACCATAAACCATCTTACACTCGGATTTGATGTGAGGCTTTACAGCAAAGCGTTTCTCTAGCAAAACTGAATTATGATGATTTGTTGTACCTTTAGTCTGTAAATTACCTTACTTCAAGCTGGAACAATACAGTTTCTTTTTGATACCAAAAGATATAAAGACTGATTGTGAACAAATACAGTCTTTAAAATGTCAACTACTCATTTTTTTAACATTAACCTTTTTCTCAGCTCCCAAAGGAACTGTCTTCTGAAGCATTTGACAAGACTATTTTAAGAGCACTAAATCAGGGTTTTCAGAAGAGGGAAGAACGAAGGCATGCTGATCTTGAGCCCATAATCAGGTAAATATTTTAGCAAATAAACTGAAATGCATCACCTGAAAAGTGATTGAAGTCAAACTAGATGACTTTTAGGGACAGTGGAAATTCTGCTGCCTAAACACAATTTGTGAAAAAAATCAGAAGGCAGTGATGAAATAGATACCCTTAACTCTTTTTTTTTCTTTTTTTTTTTAATTTAGACTCTTATTAAACTTTAATGGATTACTTCTAAAGAAGTAATCATACAATTATGAAAATGTTTGTCCTGAGCAGCATTATATAGCAATGATTAGCGCTTCAGCAAGGGTCTTACCTCCATTATACAAGGGTATATTTAGAAATATTAGAAACAGTAACTCAAAGCACATATGTTCTAATTTTATGACAGCATGGAGTGAGAGACAGAACAGAATTTGGAAAAGAATGAACAGTAATAGTGAAGCATGTATATAAAACCAATTGTAGCTCACACATGTTAAAAAAATGGCCTCATAGCCTACTGTCTAGCGGTGAGGATGCTTCCTGGGGTGTGGGACATGTTGGTCAAATCTTGTAATTCAGAACAGCAATACGAATTTGGGTGGGCCTCCCTGTTCTTTTTGTTTGTTACAGATACCTTGTTATGTTTGTTCCTTCCTGTCAGGGTTGTTCAACTTCTTCAAAACAACTTAAATTATTCATCAGGTTAGGCAGTGTCCCTTGACTTAGGGTACTTGTTGAAGAATCAGGCACTGCTTTTCAAGCTCCTGCTCAGAATATACTGCAGGTCCAAGCATATCAGATCTTTGGGTTTTGTCTTAATAGCTTAGCTATAGAAGATACGGAGCTGCTGTGTGCTTCAACCTCCCCCTTCCCAATTTTCTTTTACTTTGACCTGTAATATTATTTGTCTGTCTTTATTGGCTTGATTGTCAAGCCAAAAACTAAATCTGTGCAAGTAATTTTTGGCTAATAAACATTCTGGTTTTAAATGAATAAACTTGTTAAACAGGTTGACTGAAGAGGACATATCTGTAATACAGAAAGGTGAAACCTCACTGCACAGTAATTACAAACCCAAGATATTCAGTTTGAGGATAACCTTTAAACGTATCCAACCATGTTGTAGCATGGCACTATAATTACAATTTGCAAGCTAAGTTGTGACTGTACTGGAATGCTACGTGAATAATCTTGTGATAATAGCATTACTGTATACAAATTGAGTTTTCTTACAGTATCAGTTTAGCATTAATACATATTTATTTGGGGATCTTAAGTATGTGCCCAATTGCCAAAAATTGCTCTCCCCTGCCCCCCCTCCAAAAAAATAGAACCGGGTAGTGCTTCCTGGTGAGCAATAATTGAAAAATTGGTGTGGGATGTAAAAATCATTCATTCTTGGCCTGTTTTCTTTTCTGAAGCTAATAGAAGTTGTCACTGACCTCTTGGGAACAGACTCAGACCAGTGCATGGTGGTATTGAGAATCCCACCCTTTGCTCTTGGAGATAATGATGAAACTCAAATACTGACATTATAGGTGAACTCAACTTCGTATTTAACCAAATAAGTGTATTTAAGGAACAGGTGCGTTGTTTTGGGAAATTAAATGTTAAAATATAAAGTCCAGTGCTTTTTTGACTCAGTCCAAACTCCTCTTCAATAAAATGTTACAGGTGGCTAAAATGTTTGAATTGGGATGGCTCAAAAGCACATACCTTTTACATTAAAAAAAAATTCATCATACCAATTTCTTGTACTGGCTGTATTCCAACCTTACACTAGCACTGAACAACAAAGCTCAAAAGTAGCATTTAACATTGTTTATGCCGAACGTGCAAGTTCAAGCATTTGGACTTCTTCAGAACTGCCTACTTTGCTCTTAAGTGGTACTGTAGTAAATTTTTGTATTCTTCCTATGGAATATTACTTTTATAAGTAATATTTAACAAACTCTCACTTAAATTTCAGGCAGCTATTTTCAAATACATCGCAAGCTTTTCTGCAGAATCAGAGAGTATACAACTTCTTCCAATCAATTTCATCAGAATCTTTGCACACTCACAGTAAGAAATATTCTAATGCTGTTTTATATAACAAAAAGTCTATAAAAAGCTATTCTTCCTGTCATGCCTAATTATGTTTTTATAATTATGTATTCATGTTACATTGTATTCCACTGGTCGTGTTTGAACTCCCTGCCAATGAATATTCACTTCAGCAGGTACTCGTGCTTTTGACAGTGGGAAAGTGCTATGTAGCATCAGCTTGTGTTCTTTTCTTTCTTCCTTCTTTGTACCATCATGCTGTTAAAATAAGTAATTATGAATTGAGCATGTGCAACAGTTTGGGACTTTCTTCCTTTTAAGAAATCTTAAACTTTGGAACAAAAAGCTTGAGCTGACCCAAAAAAATCACCTCTGTTTTTTATTTGGTTTCTTTTGGAGATGAAGTGTTTGTCTTGATATTTAAACTAAGATTAATTTGGGGTATATAGTACATAAATAGTGGGACGGTCCTAATTTCAGAACATACAGAATCTTGTTCAAAGCATTTGCATTGCAGAGATTTCCTTGGTGGACCTCTTACCTACTTGTGTGTTACAAATTGTTTGTACAACCTAACCTTAGCTTCTCTGTATGGATGCCTTAGGATGTGGTCTTTGTTTCTGTTGAATCTTTCCTTCTTTCGATGCATGTTATACACCATGACAGTTAAGGCACTGACTCCGAGGCCATTGCCTCAGAAATTGCAGAAGACCTTAGTAAGGAATTGAATAAGTTGGAGTTTTCAAACAGACTGCTCATATGTGCTTGGAAGAAAATAGAGGCATGACAGCTGACTTTAATTTGAAATGATGGGTGTGATCTGCTGTGACAAATGTATTCTTTCCATGATCAGATAGAAGCCTTGTGATTAGGGTAGAAGCTGTAGGTCATTTTGCGATACTTTTTTTTTTTTTAGTAACACTTAGGACATTCTTACATGGCAGTTCTGTGAAAAAGTTAAGCTAATGAGGTCCAGGATGATTGTGAAACTGGCTGGAATTTACTCCTGTGAAAATTCTGACAACTCTGGTGTAATGAATCGGGGAGGAAAGAGTTTCCAAAGTCCAGAAAGATTCACATTAATGATAGGCACACTGCACAGGGTATGCATATTTTAATCTGTAGACTACATCTAAGTGGGAAAAACTTGCAAATGTGTTGTTGTACCTGATTATAATTTGAAATGGTCTGAAAAAGAACCAGTGCCAGGTTCCATCACGATAGACTTGACTGGGTTAGTGCAGGGCAGAAATGATCTGTGGGGTAGGTAGATCAGAAGAGTAAAATGGACAAATGTCAATTCTGCAGGAAGTCTTACAGATTATAATGTGATTATAAATGGGAGATAATTTGTATAATAATAAATAAATAATTGGGTACACGAAAGTTTGTGAGGATTTGTCAGATCTAGAATGCAGGACAGATAGGATGAAGAACTTAATTGTTTAGCAGAGAGGAAGAAAAACTCCTCTCTGCTAGGAGATTACTTTGATGACTTATGTCTTCAAATACCAAAGAGTCATAATGTAAAGAGGATGATCTGTTCTCTCTGACGGATAAGACAGAAAGCACTGGGCTTAACTTGCTGTGAGGAAGGTTAGGACCAGGGTCAGGCAAGAATCTGGTGATTACCAGACAAGTCCAAAGCAGTGGGCAGATCTGAGGTCAAGGCAGAAAAACAAGTTAGTGGGTCAGGGTTAAGAACAGGATCAGTGAGGTACATGGCCAGGCACGGGCATGGCTGCACTGCACCCCAGGCAAGGGCCTGAGCTCAAGTGTGGCTCCCAAGCCAAAGGATGGAGGCTCCAGATGAGACCTTTGCCAGTTCTTTCCCAGCAGTCTCACCCAAAATTGAAGAACTGCTCTGTATGAGATTGGATCTTGAGCACAGGCAGGTGAAGCCCTTGGGAGGGCAGGGGAAGAGGTTGCAAAGCCCATTGGTATGGTTCAGGGCCCTGACATTGAGTTAGATATTAAGAAAAAGTTTGGTGAAGACAAATAGTGCGATAAATCTAAGCATAGTTGTTTTTCTTTTGAGAAGGGGGACTGGATGACTTGTCTGGGGTAGCTCACCACAGGTGGCCTCTGTGTGTTTTTCTAGGTTTCCTGTTTGGGATTCCTGAAATCCTGCTAATACTTGCAACTGCAAGCTAGCCTGTGGTGGCATATTTTGAACGTGATGACAGTGGAGGGGAGTGGGGGAAGCGTGTCTTTAAGAAAAGTCTCATCAGTTCTCAAATGGATGTGCAGAATTAATTGGCAGACAAAGCAGTTGTGGCTTTAATGGGTCTTCAGTTGCTATTTAGAGTTCAGGATAAAAATGTCTCTTCACGGAAATACAAAAATATTCACTCTTTCTGAAGGGTATGGTTTTAGTAAAACCTATGTGGAAATAAATTCTGTGTTCAGTGAAGGGTCTTATACCTTAAATGTGAGTTGGGATCTCACACTGAATAATATATTCAGTAAGTGTAATTATGCCGCCATGGTTCCATTAAGGAGGAAATCAATTAGCTCCCTCCTGGTTCATAACGTCAGTTATTTTAGACACTTTTTCAGGCTGGAGTAGACTTTTGATTCCAACAGACTTTATTAGAGCATGATCTCTGGGGGCTTAGCATGTTCAGTGCAGACAATATTTGGAGAGATCTTCCTATCAACGTTTCAAGCTCCTAAACAACAGCTTTCAGATGCTTTTATCTGCACTAACTTGGAACTTTTTGAGAGGGAAAGAGTAGACTCCTGGAGGTAGATTCATTACCATACTTAGTCCTTTTTTAGAGCATGGCAGTGGTATTTTTGCAAAAAACCTGTAAATATTATTGCCACTTCTTTTTCTATCCCATCTGGCATAAAAAGGCAGAAATTGTTCATGAAGACTGTGTTAAGGGCACTAGAAGACCTTGGCCCAAATTAGGTCTCTTGGCAGGTGAATGATTTGACAATGGAGGAGTATAACTTGTTGTAGAAGAATTCTAATAACTATCATTTGGTCTCCTCCCATTTCCTGCTGTAACACAAAAAAGATTATAAAAAAAATCCCCATCTGGCATAAAAAGGCAGAAATTGTTCATGAAGACTGTGTTAAGGGCACTAGAAGACCTTGGCCCAAATTAGGTCTCTTGGCAGGTGAATGATTTGACAATGGAGGAGTATAACTTGTTGTAGAAGAATTCTAATAACTATCATTTGGTCTCCTCCCATTTCCTGCTGTAACACAAAAAAGATTATAAAAAAAATCCAAAGTGCAGGATAATAGGAATATTTTTAATACTGTAATCACGATCCCAACCTTTTGAAATTGCACCATAGCTTTAAAATTGTTTTGCACACTCTTTTCTTTAAAATAGAAGTATCTCCATAGAGCCTTTACTCTTGGAGATGGCCTGCTTTGGAGGAGACAATGTTCAAATTATTGCCATATGCAAACCAGTAAGTTCAGTCTTCCGTTTCCCTAGCTTCCAGTTTAGTGCAAACATTCAGGAACTGTCTAGTTGTTCAAGATCTATAAAGTTACTACGTGAACTTTATTCTCTGCAGGTAACTTACAACCCTCTTTGAAGACGGTTAAGGCACCAGAACACTTCAAGGAGGACAGTTCAGAAGCTTCAAGTCAGGAGGAAGGTAGTTGTGTACTCAAAGGTGGTTCTTCTCTGAGAAATTTTGCCACACTCAGTTCTGGAAATCATGCAGTTGACTGATTTTCTTCATTGGTACAAAGCTGAGAGATTTGAATGAAATCTGCTATGTAAATGAAGAATTTTTGTATATTTTCAGCAGTTTCCTTAGGAGGTTGCTGTATAATCCAAGGACTGGGAGTGTTCATAGACAGCTCAGAGGCAGAAGTTCACAGCTGTGTTGAGCAACCAGGAAGATACACTTTACAATTCACTTGAGCCAAGATTGTTTGTAGCTTTTCATGTCTTTACCTATTCTTCAGTTACCAGGGTTAGAAGTTCAGTGCAGCATTTCAAGAATTGCAGACTGTTTTGCATTAAATGTGCCAAATTTGTCTAGCTTTTAGTTTTACTCGGAAAGGATGTTCAGGTTTTCCTCTTCTTATTCTTAACCTATGCTGTTTTTATACTCTGGACTGTTAATAAGGACTGTTTGGGACTGTAGTGAGTCGTGATTACAGTCTGAAAGCTGGTGTTTTCCAAATATCTCAAAAACAGTTCATGTGTGGAAGCAGCAGCCTAGTGGCTGGTCAGTAATTTCATTTTGAAAGGAATGGCAAGCCAGTTTTGCATTGCTTTCAGTAGCAAACAAGTATAAGCTTCTGCTAGGTGGAAAGGATGAGAAATGGGACTCATAGGTGAACACGGACCACTGAACACTTATACTAGCTTTCACAGAGTGACACCACTTTTATCCTGTTAAACATTAATAACTAATAAGAAGCTTGTGGTTGATCTTATGTGCAAACAGTAATCTGCATATGCAGTTCAGACAGCTTTTCCTTATTTAAAAAAATCACCACCATATTCTTCTTTAGAGTTCAGAATGCACCAAGTAAATTTACAATATATTTGGAAGATGCTCAAATAGTCTTCTATATACTGTCCTTAAGAAAAAAATCTGTTCACCTGATGAAACTACAAATGCATTTCAGAACACCTTTTGTGCCATTTTAGTGAAGTGCTACCAGAAGTTTAAAAATTGTGATTTTTTTTTTTTTCCCCAAATCATGATTTGGACTTATGTGTAGCATTGAGAGGAGTTCAGGCAAAGTGATAGCTACCAAGAAGGTCAAGATCATCAAGAGTTGGAGTCAAGAAAAGTTGCTTTTGTTAAAATTTAACGGTTGCCTTAAAGAAAAGGGTAGACCACATCTCTAAAGTTCTTGTTTCTTGTTTGAAACAGTGTCTCTTTTTATGTCAAATGTAATTTGCAAAGCTTTACTGGCATAGTGAATTTTGAGGTTCAGAATGCAATACTTCTGTGTAAGACTTGTCTTCATTCACTATTCAGAATGTGTGACAGTTTTGAGATGAATTTTAGCAGTTCAGAAAAAAAATACAAAATTCTGTACTTTTCTGACTGAATCCTTTCTTCTCTCTCCATCCTTTCATACTGGGTGATACTCAGTCACGCATTTAGTCCCTACGGGTGATACTCAGTCACGCATTTAGTCCCTAAAATTAAATATAGAGGTGAGCAAACATAAACGGTTGTTACAGTTCCTAGCTTTCTGTTTCATTCTTCTGTGAAATGGAAGGTAAAGAGTCTTGATTATACTGTCTATACAAACTGATCTCTCCTCTATGCAACACCTGTTAATTTCAGCACTGTAAATTAAGCCTAGCCTATTTAACGGAAATGTCTTCTGCTAAGTGTCTGGTAGTGATGGAAAGATGAATTTGTTGGATTGATCTAAAAGAGGAAATAGGAATTGCTATTGAAATTCTGCTTTGTTTATTTTTTTCCAGATGTAATGCAACACACAGCAGTTCACAAGAAACATAATGGAAAAAGTCCTGTTGCCAAGTAGGTACTAGGATGTAATGTGACCATGCTACATTTCTGAACTTCATTTGTTAGTGCTTTGAGAGTATGTGTTTCCTTCTAGATTAAAGCTTGTTTGTGGGGTTTTTGTTTGGTTGGGGTGGGGTGTTCTTGTCTTATTTTTTGTTGTTTGGGGGGGGGTGTTATCACAAGAAACATAATGGAAAAAGTCCTGTTGCCAAGTAGGTACTAGGATGTAATGTGACCATGCTACATTTCTGAACTTCATTTGTTAGTGCTTTGAGAGTATGTGTTTCCTTCTAGATTAAAGCTTGTTTGTGGGGTTTTTGTTTGGTTGGGGTGGGGTGTTCTTGTCTTATTTTTTGTTGTTTGGGGGGGGGTGTTATTTTCTTAATCTGTATTAGAAAAATATTTCAAAAGATCCTATTTCTGTATCTGTAGGTCTAGGTCATTTGGAACTCTCCCCCAAATTTTGTGAATTTTCACTACTTGCATTTATATTTCGATTTGTGTTTATAAGCTGAGTAACAAATTTCCGGTGCTGTTGATTTTAAGCTTTTCTTCAGTAGCTTCAAAGATGACCTTATAGGAGAAGGTAGTCCATTCTTTCCCTTGCTTAGTAGCAAAAGCATGTATACCTTGCTGGTTTACGTCCATTGTAAGTGGAAGCACTTCTTAACCATATTAAAGTAGTTTATATATGCTTTCAGATATATGAAGTATGTAATGTGAATTCACCCATTAATGTATTTTGACCAGAAACTTTGGATATGTTTGCACATAGTTGTGCAATACTTCAACTATATTAAGAGAAAAAATGGATACAAATTTTATTGTGGTTTACAGTTCTGTTCTGTGTTGTTTTATCTGTAAAACTTATTTATCTCAGGGTGGGAAAATTACCTGGAATTAGAATATAAACATAGCACAAAACAATGTTGGTTAAGGTTCACAGATCTTTCACAGACAAGATTCTTGTGAAATTAGCAAGTGAACAACTTAGTGGTTTGTTTCTGTTTTGTTTTTTAACCTTCCTACTTACTCTCAACTTACATTTCTTCAAGAAGAGAATGTCATCTTGACAAAATCTGATTATACCAGTGGATATACAGCCTACTATGAAGTTGTAAGAGTGGGATCCAAACTTACCAGCATATAGTTACTAATAAAAAATTTGTCTTTTTCTTATTCATTGTATAATAAAGTATACTAAAGCTGGCTGTAGTTTAGGATCTGTCTTCCAGGTAGGAAAGACAGGGACAGGCCTTTCCACGAACTTCCTTGGTAGAAACTCCTTTTACTAGCTATTATTTTCTGTTTGTTTAAGAGGGGAAAATGTGTTTACTACTTGACTGCTAGAGGTCTGTTAGTCCTCTCCTGTTCGTGTTATGTATCTGTCTTCTTAAAATCTGTGCCTGTTATTTTGGGTTCTAAAGAAATGGCACTGAATAAAACTTTTCTCTTTTACATATGTATAAAACTGTCTAGAGTCAAGAGCAGTTCATCTCAAATAGCATTGGTATGTTTTAGGAAAATTTGTACATTACATCTGTCTACCTTTTGTTTTTATTCAGTATGGCAGTCTTACTCTTGAAAAGGTCCAAAAATTTACTGGTAGGAATAAGGTCGGACATACGAAATAAAAAATTTAGTAGTATCACAGCTTACATGAAAAGACAGTAAATTTGGCAGCGGATTCACTTAACTCCATTCGGCAAAAGTTTCTAAAGTGAACTTGCTTATATCTCTGCAGTCATGGGCTCATGCCTGTATTTTGGGACCTTCTTGGGTTCTCACCATTTTCTTAAAGGTTTTTTTTAACATTCTGTTGTACATCTTTTAAGTAGTTTGAGCACTTAATTTCGAGAGGTATTTGGTAAGTAGCTACTGGAACTTCGGCATGTCTTATGCTTTGGAGTGAGCTAGATTTCTGCCATCATGGGGACTGAGTAACATTTCATATTGCAGTAACCTTCATGAAGCAGCTTGCCAACAGCCCTGAATTAAAAGGCACTTTCAATTATCAGCATAAGTATTTTGAAAAGAATTTAAAAGTGTTAACTCCTTTTTTTTTTTTTTTTTTTTTTTTTTTTTGGAGGGGGGGTGCATCCAGTCAGTAGTAGGGCGTGGTTTTGTACAATAGATGAAAAGCTTATAGGTCCATGTGCCCTACTGACTCTGTCAGAACCCTGACTGTTTTTCCAGCAGTCTTTGTTGACCAGTGCTCTCAGACCTAGTTAAATATTGCTTCTGATCGGCTGCTGTTAAGAGAAGCTTCTGTGGAAGGCATTATAAGGTCCAAAGTAAATGCCATGTGCAACTCCCTTTCCCAGCACTACTCAAAACTAGCAATCCTGAAGCTAAAAATGCAAAGCGAGATAACTATTTTGAAATTCAAATAAACACAGCTGCAGTATGATCTGTAAGTAGCCATGCGTTCCTTTTCTTAAGTGTCTCATGAATTCTGAAATAGGGATTACAAAGTAATTCCAGCTTTGTTATTAACGATAAGGAAGAAAGAAGATTAATCCAGAATACATTTCTATCTGGAAAATTTCCCCACGTCTGGTATGAAAAAAGCAAACATGCAGAAATATCCATGGAAACTCTTCTCTCAAGTACTGTTTTCTACAAATTCTGTTGTTCTGAATTTTGCATCAAATTATAGTAGACAAATGGAAAAAGGAACTCCAATTATGTTCAGATCATTAGTATAACTTTAGAGCACAAGAACTCCTGTAATTTACATCTTTTAAATCTCTTGAGCATTTCTAGGGTTTTCTGAAAGCAAAATACTGCGGTTTCCCAACACGATGCAAAAATGTGTGTGTTGGTAGGAAAAGCCTGCAAGTTTGTTCACGTTGGCATAACTTCTGTTTCTTCCTTTCAGCAGCACTAGCAGTGCAAAATGTTCTTCACTGGATAGCCTTAACATACAGCACTCTGAGCAAAATGGGGTAATGGACTGGAGAAGAAAAAGCTGTATTGTCCAGCAGCACCCAGAGCACTGTACAAACCTACTTGACCAGGTGTGTTGCTGTTTTTTCTTTAAAGCAATATTCTGAGACATTTGAGAAGACTGTCCACTACACATGATTAGATTTAGCTTTAAAAGATGAAGAGCCCTGCTAAAATCATACAAATAAGTGTTGACGTTCAAGTTGCTACTGACTTATCTTGATTAGAAAAACCCTCATAATTACTTACTACTGTCTCATAAAGTTGCATATTTTGTTTATGAATTTGTAAATAAAATTTCCCAGTAGGATATAAGTAATCAGAAAAGTCTAATGTTCATTTCTGATCAGACACTTCCCTGTTACTGTAACATATTGTCATCAGAGAGAATTTCAGAACGCCTGGGGAATTTCTATGTTATTGCAAGGAATAAACTAGAAGCTGTATTAAAAACTAAACCATATTAATGCTACAGTAGGGACAACAGGTTAAACATATTCTTTCTATCTTACCTGCATTATCTAAGTAACTTAACTTCTTTCAACAAAGATTAGTACTTAATAGCTAGACGGATATACAATTTTTGTGAGACTTGTGTCTCTTCAGTGGTCAATTTTGGTGTGAGTATAGTTGAGAAGAATAATTCTTTATAAATAAAATAATCTACTGAAATTGGGGGAAGGAAGGTTGCTTACTGCTTACATCTGAAAAACCTTGAACTTAATATTACTCTTATTCTACATGCAGAATTTGGCTATTGATTATTATGTGGGGAATAGCAAGCCAAACAAAAACAGTTTCCTTATTTCACAAAGCAGGGTAATGAACTGAGATTTGGTTCTAAAGATGAAATGGTAGACTGCATCAAAGCTTGAACTATTGCAAACTTGAGGCAAAAAAAAAATTAATATACTAAAGCAGAGGAAAAGCTACATCCTATTTAAAGGATGTCCAAATACAGCATATTTGGACAGAGATTATTTCTGAGTTTTCATGTATTTGGCAAAGGAGTAAAATTTGAGATATTACTAGCAGCTAGTAATCGTATACTTAAAGAATTATGCAGATGCTATGTTTTTTCTTCTGTGCTTCTAGGTTGTATTCTAGAGTTAGTTTAGCAGCAACCTCCAGTTTAAGGCTGGGTACCTGCTTTGTCACTATGTAAAAATAATTTGCCATATGTACTTCCTACCCTCCAACCATCAAATGATTCTACTTAAATCAATAAATTCTGTAGCCCCTTAGGCCTTGTGATTAGCATTTTGAAGGGGGTATGTGATGAAACACATTTGTTTTTATCCTCAAGAGGAAAGACAGCATGCAAACAATAATTTGATTGATATCTTTGGAATATTTGCAAGTAGTAATTTGCTGAGTGTTTTGCTGATAATGGCATAAACGCAAGATGATGCATTATTCTAAAGGCCTGGATGCACTGTACAAGTAGTTGTTTGTATGGTTATAGCACCTGTGAGCACACTAGTCTTGGACTCGCAGACCTCTCGGTGTAGAAGGGGTTTTTTTGTTGGTTTTTGTGATACAAATTCTGTTGTTTGACTGGCGTCTTTGTATTTTCTGTCTAGCATACAGCAGAAAAACGAAGTCTGTCTACAGTAAACAAGAAGAAAGGAAAGCCACAGCTGGAAAAGTAGGTTTCCGATGTAACCAGTAATCCAGAAACAAAGTGTAATGCATTCACCTTGGTACACAGAGTCTGCAATCAATTAGGTGCTTTGTTTTGCTGTTGTGGAACAAGAGCTGGCATAGCGTGAAGCCAGTCTACATAAAAATCCTTATTTTATCTTCTGAAAAGAAGTAACTTGAAAAATAGAATGTAATTGTATGCATTCATTTCTCAAAATACCAGTTGTCATTTAGCAAAAAGATGAAGGAGCAGAAGTAGGTTCTTAACCGATACTGAATTGCCTTTTTTCATGTTATGTTTATTTGAAAGTTAAAAGGTGTAAAGCTGTCCAGAAAACACTGAAAATCAAATAAGGATTGACAGCAACCTTTAACATTACGCAGTGGGTGGTAACTTGCTGAAATCTTTTATTGAAGATAATTTGCACATCAGAGGGCTTCAGAACTTCCTGTGGGCTACCCAGTCCTGCACTGTGAGGAAGTGAAAACGTTTCCACCATTATCTAATACTCTGCCTACTTCCAAGTTGACTTTCTGTCATTTTGTTAGTCTGTAGCCAGATGCTTTTATGCTAGTCTGGTGTACACTGCATTACACACATCAGCTTTCAAAGGCGACTTTAGAATCAGCTGCACTATTTCTTTTTTTGTGTGTTTTCTTTTTTAGATCTTTATTCATAGTGTTTAGTAACACTGCTTGCAGTTTTGTTCCTGGTATATTGCACTAACAGCCTTTACCTATTTTTTTATTACCTACATTTGTTGTTATAGTTATTAAATATACAATTCTGGCCTGGAGTCACTGCCTTTGTTTACAGTGGCGTTATATGTTCATTCACGGTTGGTTATTTGTGCCCATGCATTTGGAAAAAAACCCATGAAAATTATTTACACAGGGAGAAAGCAAAGAAAACTGACTGCCGGTTGAATAACAGGACTAATGGAGTTAGAGTTGCAGCATCACAGCACATCCGTACAGGGACAGCAAAAGGTAAGATGTTTTTTCCCAAGCTGTTTGTAAGAAATAGAATTTCCAGTGTTGCTGGGTTATTCATTGTTCTGCAGTAAAGGGGAAATCACAAGCCTGAAATCTGTTTTGGTGCAAGTCATCATGTTGGCTGTCTAGTCTGTGCTTTGACTTGCTGTATAGAACATGCTAGACTCAAGTCTTCTGTATGCAGTTGCTTAGGGTTTCTCTCTTTCCACGCATAACTGGAAAAATACTAGTAAAGTCTCCATAAGTTTCCTTATGTGGAGTAGTAGTTACAGAAACAGTTAATGTTGGGCTTCTTCTTTATGAAATTTAGCAGTCCGAGTGTGTGGAGGTCCAGCATCTCGTCATTAGTGTTCTCTTTGCAGCTTACTAATTTCTTCAGCTGTTGTGGAATGGGCCATGAGGAACCTGTATAAAAACCCTCTGGTGCGAACCATTGATGAACTGTAGTGTCTAAACCAAGTGACTACTGAGCTACAACACAGAACTGTGTATGCTACCCTAACAGGGTTTTCAAGTTTGGGTAATGTAGCAAACTCTAGTGTCTAGGCCAAGACTTGTGTACATCAGTCAGTTATAAGACAAAATGATATTCGTGTTCCTTCAGTAAATTGAGTCTCCAAGCTTTATTACAAATTTCTGAAGGGCTATGTTACCCATTGACTTTGCCATCTTGATGTTTTCTAAGCTCCCAGTATCAGTTGCAGCCTTGCCTCTCTGATACTTAGTTCTCATGACAGAAAGTTGACAAAGAATTTGCCGCCTTCTATACCACCTAATCAGCATAAGTGTTAAAAGGACTCTTACAAAGTGCCTTGTCTTGCTCTTGCTTCCACTTGGGGTACAGTCTTGATTAAGCGTTCATTCTTTCTTCTCACCACTTCTCACTGTTGAGAGTTCCAGGCGGATCCCATTCTGAATTATTGTCATGTGTTTTATGGGCAGTTTTTGTTACCTTCTACAAACAGTATTTGACTAAAACTTTATGAATTCACAGTTCACAAACTTAGCAAAACCAGGACAATTTTAGAAAGTTACAGCTGAGGGCTGTACAGGCAGAAAACATACTCTACAGGACAGGTTTGCTGTGTACGTTTCTGATTGATTACTGTTCTTGTTGTCAGGCAAAACGCACTGAGCTTTTATGAACTGACGATAACTTTAAGAGGTGGTGCAATTTTGTGTGACGTAGTGCAAAATTAAATAGGGAATGCTTTGCCACAAGGGTTCTGTCCACTCACTAACCACTCCACAGATGTGAAACTGCCTGTCTGATACTGTTGGCTAGTCAGGGCCCCTCCAAGAAGAAACTGCAACCCACAGAGGCTGGAAGCAATTAAGTCCTGCTCAGAGATGAGCTTTCTACCTGTGCATTTGTGTACAAACATCAAAATGTCTTTTGAGATACCCTATTGAGATACAGTCTAAAGAAAAAATTCCATGTTGCAATCTGAATCTCTGCCTAGCTTTATGTATCCAGGCTTGGTTTGAAATGCTCTATTTTGAGTCAGTAACTCTTAACTGCATCATGTGTTCTTCCATTTTTTCCTCCCTATTTTTAGCTTTTCTGAGTCATCAGTTAGTTACACTTGTAACTTTGAAGACTTGATACTTTGTGGCTAGCACTTTAGACTCTTCCTTTCAGTGATGTGAAGTTGACACTTGCTGCTCCAGGTTATATTAGCTATTCAAAACACTTGTTTAAAATAATTTGACCAGTTACAGGTTTAATCCAGGAAATTATTTCAAGAGTTGAAGCATTAAGGCAGCTTTTTGATGACTTATCCCAACCTGTTATGCTTGCAATAGCAATAATAAATGACTTAATAATTTATAAATAAAATAATAATTTAATAGAATTAATAAAATAAATAATAGTGTTCTAATTTTTGTCCTGGAGTCTTACCAATCAAGGTTTTGGGGATTGGTGTTTCCTTGAAGCTAGTGTCTGGTATATGTTCTGAGAGAGGGTGCATCTGTCTTGCTCCTTCACCTCTGAGGCTGAACTTGAAAGCCAGAGCATACTAGCTACTTGACTTCACTAATAGGATCTAAACTCACCCTGAAAGCTGGTTTCCAGCAAATGAGTTTTCCATGATCCCATTCAGAACTTAGAAAACAATTTTACACTTTTTTAGTTCACCTCTTTTGCTTTAAACAGGTTTTGTTGATACAGTTTGCGTAAAGCCTGTTCCAGAAGAGTTAATTGTAAAAAGGTGTATTATTTTGATGTTGCCCACTGAGTTAGCTTTCTGCCTTTGCTGGTATGACCAAGGAGTATTGCATTTCTTTAAAAGGAAACATTTGATTGCTACCATTCAGAGGAAGTTATTATTATAATGCAATTTGGTATAAGCATCGCAAAATTTATTAAGGATGATCATTTCTTTTCACTGCTCTGCATAAATACCAATTTTCAGTGTCACCTTCTTTAACACCAAGGATTCAGTCATCGCAAATTTAGGGACAGGACCAGTCCTGACTGCTGGGAGTGGGAATGTTAGGAATGCAGGGGACAGATGCAATTACGTAGGAACAAACAAAAATCTGAACTAGCGTGAGATGTGAACAAACCAAAATAACCTCACTTCCATATACTGAGATTAAAAATAAAAATTGGCATTTTTATTTTTAGATCTGAATTTGGACGCTGGATCTGGTCATGACACATGTGGAGAAACATCATCTGAAAGTTACAGTTCTCCTTCTAGTCCACGACATGATGGGAGGGAAAGCTTTGATAGTGAAGATGAAAAAGACAGAGGTGGTATTTATGGATAGTGTGCATGAACATCTTTATTCCTAGACTAATCTCTTTCTTGTATTAATTTTAATTAGTTTCTCAGTTTTATTAGCTGCTTTTATTTCTGAGCTAGCCACAGAACACATTTTGCTTTGTGGGTTTCATGACTGGACGGTTTGAAGGCTTCTAGCAAATAGCAGGACTGTTTAAATACCGTTGAGTTTTAGGTTACTGCATACGTGTAGTAATTTTCTGACCTCAGTGGCATGGCTCTCTTGAGAAATTTCAGCAGTACAGTAATGGGAAAGACTTTGGCATGAAAGAGACCGATTTAATATTGAATTACGTGTCTGAGAGGTCCTTCTTTTTGTATTGACAGTTTAATTTGCCACTCCTTCCAAATTTGAGTAAGCTGTGTTAATGTCTTTCTAAGTAGATGCAAATTCCTAATTTGGTCTGTGTCCTACTCTTCACATTTGCAGATATACACAAGTCAAAGACACAGTAGCTAGTTGGGCAGTTTGATATAGGCAAGTGATGGAGATTGACCTAGCTTGATTTTCATGAATGAAAATAATCTCAAAGTTATAACTATCATTTGCATCATCAAACTTAGGAAGTTTTATATGGGTAAATGAGTCCAGGACATGATTATATTGTTGCAGATTCATTCTTCTGACTCTGACAAATGCTTTTGTCTCCATAGATACAGACAGCAATTCTGAGGACTCTGGGAATCAAAATACAACCAGGTTTACAGGCTACAGTGCTGTCAGTTCATCAAATATGAACAAATCGTCTGCTCAGATGTCTTCAGTGAATAATGAAAATGGAAGCCTTTCAGAAGATCCTTTGAATGCAAAATTTCAACATATTTCCTTCATGCCTGCCTTACACTGTGTGATGCACAGCGCTGCCCAAAAGCCTGAAGCAGTTGTCCCGCCACCCATATCTGCAGATGGTAAAACAATGGGAATGCTTGTTACCACGCCTGTTGCTGTCTCGCCAGTGAGAGAGTCTGCAAATTCACCTCCTGGTGGAATGGGCCCAGTGACCTCTGGTGAACCTGAGAAACGCCTTGAGCTGATGGCTTCCCCATTGCCCGTCCCATCCACTTTCCTTCCACATTCTGTCCAGCCTGGTAGCCCTGCTTTGCATTTGGCAATACATAGATTGAAAATGCCCTCTCCACAGGGATCATCGGAAAGTTGCACAGTTAATGGACCGCAGCAGCCGACAGGAAACTTAAGTATTGGTTCACCAAATACTGCCTTTATCCCAGTCCACAATCCAGGTAGTTTCCCAGGATCCCCAGTTCCTACTACAGATCCCATCACAAAACCTGCATCCCAGGTGGTAGGACTGAATCAAATGGTGCCTCACATTGAGGGAAACCCAGGAGCAATCCCTCAGCCTACCAATCTAAAGGTAGTTCTTCCAGCAGCTGGTCTCTCCACAGCAGCACCGCCACCTCCACCAGCTTCATACGCTTTGCCAGGCAGTCCTCATGCTACCAGTGTGTTGCCCAACCAGAATACAAACGTGCTAAACACTGTAGCGACTTCCTCACCGCCTCAGTCAGCTGGCTTAGGTGTTGGTCAGGTCCAGTCCACTGTTCCTCCTGCAATACCTACACATACGCCAGGCCCTGCCCCTAGCCCGAGCCCTGCTTTAACACACAGCACTGCACAGAGTGACAGCACATCCTACATAAACGCTGTTGGAAATAATAACACTAACGGGACAATGTTACCTCCGCAGCAGTTGGGATCTGGTCCTTGTGGTTCTTGCGGACGTAGGTGTAGCTGTGGGACCAATGGAAGCCTTCAGATTAATAGCTATTTTTATCATAATCCACTTCATGGACAAGTCTACAGAGTTCCATCTTTCTTCACTCTGCCATCACTTTGCAATGGCAGCTACCTCAATCAAGCACATCAAAGCAATGGAACACAACTTCCTTTCTTCCTGCCTCAGTCTCCATATGCAAACGGGCTTATGCATGACCCAGTGATGGGGAGCCAAGCCAACTATGGTATGCAGCAGATGGCAGGATTTGGGAGGTTCTATCCTGTATATCCAGCACCTAACGTAGTTGCCAACACAAATGGGTCGGGACCCAAGAAGAATGGGAACGTTTCATGTTACAATTGTGGTGTAAGTGGACACTATGCGCAGGACTGTAAGCAGTCATCCATGGAGGCCAGTCAACAAGGTAATCATGATAACTCCCAGCGGACTTGCTTTTGAGTTTAGCAGTTTCTCTTTACCTTTCTGAATGTGCTGTTTCTGGTCTTGCAGAAAGGTGTGCGTGCGTGTGTATGTTTTGTGTAAATGGTTGTGCACTAGTGACCTGCTCTAAAACTGCAAAGTATCTTATCTATACCTGAAAATTTTGTAGAACAGTGCAAGGGAACGGGGTTCACAGCGTGAAGTTGAAAATGGGTATGATTTGGAGCTGGGAAGTCAAACTATATCAGTCCTAAATTGTCATTCTTTTTTCACTGGTTTGTTTTTGGCATTATGACGAGACTTGCATGTTGTTTCAATTTTTCCATTCCTGTTCAGTGTGTTTTTGGAGAGAATTCATTGGCAAAAAGTGAAAGATATCAATTACTGTCTATGATACAAACTTGGATTCTTAAGACTTGTGAGAATTTAAAAAAAACAAACCAACAGACTGGCCATTTGATAATTTAACTCTTCTAAAGCTTCCCTTTGCACAATCAGCCATCCTTCTGTGCCCCATCATGCAATACATGAATGAAACACGCTTTAACTTTTCAGACAAGTTGCAGCAAAAAGGCAGAAACCAATTGGAACTAAAAATCAAAGGAATGGCTTCAGCCTTACATGCCATTTCTCTCTCCATCCAGAATAATGGAGAAAACGCAGTGTTTGCGTAGAGCATAAACTATTTTTGATTCTTGGCCTGTGCCCATTCTGACTTTACTTGTTTGGTCAGACCGGAACAGGAAAGGCGAACCTTGGTGGGGGTCTTCTTTTCCTTGCATTTTTCCGGTAAAGGTAAAGTCCTGTATCTACGGTCTATATCTTTTTTTAAACTTACAGTTTTAGCAAGCAGATGAAAGAAAATAGTATAAAATCTTAAGGACCTACTTTAAAAGGACTGGAGGATGATAGTGCCTTTTGAAGAGCATGTCCATTTTGATACCTTGTAGTGGTTTTGTAATCCATTTTAATTGTGAGCAGTGACTTAGTAGTTCTCTTTCCTGTTTTAGGCACTTACAGACTGAGATACGCACCTCCCCCTCCCCCTTCCAATGATACCTTGGATTCTGCAGACTGAAACAAGTAAACATTGCCTACTTAAACTGAAGCTTGGGAAATTGGGGGAAGGTTGGGGGCGGGGGGGGTTGGTCTTGTGTTTTGGGACATTCCCGGTTCTATATTCTTTTGGAATTTTTCATTGCTTTTGCACCTCTGTTCCATACAAAAGAAGAAAGCTGAGTCCCTGGTCTCCTCCTGGTTCAACAAAAGGCTTGCGTAATGCATGCAATTCAAACACACAGCCAAACAATCAAAAAGAGCATTCGAACCATGCTTTTGCACTGAAGACTTGAGACATGTGCAATGTTTACTGCATTTTTAAAAAAAAAAAAAAAAAATCCTCTGACCTCTGACATCACTGGTGGAGCAGCCATATGGTGAAAGAAGAAACTTGGTCATGTTCCCCACCACAATCTTCTTCCCTCCCTCCCCGTTCTCCTTATGCTGCTGTTTTATTTTCTTTCCCTGTTTGTCCACGTGGATTCGTTGGACTTGCATGAGTGTTTAGCAGTTCATACAGACCCTGCCCATACTCTAAATTAATGCTCATGAATTGAGGGGAGATGTTCAAACATCCTATTAGGAGAGTCCAAAGGAACACACAATACTGTATGTGTGCTGTATCTGAGAATAATACATATACACAGCTCTTGAGAGTCCCAAATAAATGAAAACACATAGAGCAGGAAGGGGCTGAAACTGTGTGGACTGGAACAGATTTAGAAAAATGAACGAGCTTAAATTGACAGATTTTTCTTCCATTGTAGCTTTTTAGCCTGTATGTTCAGCAACAAAGGTGAAAAAAATGGTATGAATGTTGTACTCAGTGTGTTTGCATTTGTAATGAAAGTTGACGGCATTTTTTCCTTTTTTAAAGCTATTCTACATCGTGTCAACACAGAATGAACGTTACTTGATTGAATATTTTTTCCTAAACTATTACAGTGTTGCATTGTACTTAGAATGTAAATGTTTTATTTCAAACTGAACAAAAGCTATGGTTTTCTACAAAATAGTCAGGTATTAGTATTAGAACCTGTCTACCAAATAGCAAAGTCACTATTTTATAACAATTTACCACTATGCGTAATTACGGTATAATGTGAAAGACTGAAATGAGTGTTAAGATGGTATTAATCATGTCAGTATCATGAGTAAGTAAGTTTAATGCTGCTGTATTTTTTATTTTATTTTTAAAAGCCAATATATGTACTAAATTGCTTCCAGGTAATATTTGATTTCCTAAAGTGCACTGAGGTTATCTGGAAGATGAGTGTATTTTTTGACTGCTGCATTCAACACCGATGAACAACTACCACTGTATATCCATAGGGTTTGGCATTCCTCACAGTTCATGGCAGAAATGTTTTTTCTTAAAATCAGACCTGGTGTCCGGTAGAGGGATGAAGTAAAATCAATCTTTGGTTCAGCCGTCTAATAAATTGCTAAACAAACAAAAAAACTTGAAGAAAAAAAGCTTGATTACTTTATTTCTTCATAGGTAGCATTTATATTTATAGCACCAGTGTACATTTTGAAACTTTTTTCTTGGAGGGGGGGAATGGGGAGGGAGGTAGATGAAAGCTTTAATTTAAAAAGAAGTTTAAGTAGTAAATGAAAATTATTTTGATTAAAATTTTTATTTGATCTGGGTATTTTTGGACCACTTGAAATGAATGAACTGCGTTTGAGTTGAAGTGAGGGTGTTAAACCACCAATGGACTTGTATTGTGAATTACCTGCCAGTTGTACTTTATGGAACTTATTTTATGATTTAAAATACTGTACTGTAAATAGGAGGTATGTTACCTTCTCTTTATTTGTATGTTTACCATATACTTTGATATTTGAAATGTACTGGAAAGGTCACTTATATTTCTAGAAGAGATTGGATTTTATGCAACCTTTTTCCTTGAATTAACAGCAATAAAAAAAAAGAAAAAAAAAAGTACCTGTGTGCAAGTAACTGTCCTTTATCATTGAGAACAATGAAATACGTGTGATGCTCTGCCGTGGGGTATAGGGATGGGATGGCGGAAGGTTTTGGCAAGCTACCATTTTGGTTGGAATCTGTCACTTTGAAGGCAAAGCTGAGAGTATTTGACTTCAGGTAAGGTCAGTCTTGTATCTGAAGTCAGGATACTGTCTCTTGATTTAAACTTCTTTAAGGTAGATAGATCTCTTGGGAGAAAGAGGATAGACCTCTTTCTATCTAGTGATAGACCCAGGACTTTGACCTAAGCTCTTTCAGAACAGTTAAGCCTGTGTTATATTCTGATGGCTCCTGGATTTGGGCTAAAACCCAGTTTAAACGGGCTTTTTTTTGACTGCAGTGCAAATAATGTGTGTGCTGGGCATGCACTAACTGAAAGTGGTATCTTTCTTCTATCTGCTAAAATAAATGGAAGGACAACAGGAGTTGCCGGGAGTAGGGAAGAAGCTTAGAAATGTGCAGATTACAGCTGAAGGGTTTGATACGAATGAAGTACCCACATGTGCTCGGGTAGAAAGAGCAGGGTACTAATTACTCTGTCACCTCACTTTGCTGTATAGACAGCGCTTCTAATTCCTACTGCTTAGCAGCAGCTTATCTGCAGAGCTGAGGACCACAGACTATCTTAGATCTTTACCCCAGCTTACTACACAGAACAACCTACTTCCTGAGAAACCAGCTAACGTGATGAGAAGGCTCGAAGTTGCCGATGAACCTGACCTCTTTTCTTCAGGCAACTCCCATAATAATGGGGGGTTTTGAAACCCAGGTGTCATACAGACATCATCATACAGCTTCCATTTCTGCAAGTGTCTTGTGTCCCCTCCCTGGACACAAGGGAGTGCGTATACCTGTCCAAGGAATCTCTGAATTATCGTATTACTCTGAAAATGAAATCTGCTACCTACCGTGCCATCTGAGTTGCTGATGCTCTCGTTTGCCTGACTGACTCCATCTGTGCATGCTGCAAGCAACCCTGACTTTAATAGATCCTGGTTGGATCTATTGATTCAAAAATTTAAAAATGCATGCCCTCTGGCACAGCAAACAGTATAAAATGCCCCGTTCCTCTGATGCTTGTTTTGCTGGAGACCTAAGAGCACTCATACCTACCTCTCCTCTTTGGCTACACCACTACTATCTGGGCAATCGGGTTCAACTACAGCTGCAGTTCAAGAGAGATTCTCTGTCCTACCGAGTGGCTTGGAAACGGTTGAATGCCCTAAAGATAAATGAGAAAATCCTACTAGCTGGTCGGCCTGAGCAGCTACCCAGGTTGTCCAGGAGTGACTCCCGAGTACTGCGCTGCTCCCGGTTTGTATTGCCTGCTCCAGTGCTGCTGCAGATGGAAACCTGTTGTTTGAACAAAGCGTTTGGTTCCTAAAGCCGGAAGAGAAAATGAACAATGAGTCGGTCATGGACAGGATTGGGAAGATGAGAGCATAAGGGAATGCGATGATGCACACTGCTTGCTTATGAGTGAACAGGTGGCCTCATTTTCCCAGCTAAGAGGCCTTAGGGCGGTAGTGGTGGCCTAATGCCTAGATCTTGACTTAGCTGATACTCCTGAAGAGGTGAAGGAACAGAGGGCACAGGCATCGTGCCAAGGTAGATGGAAAGTAAAAGGTGCAGAAAGGTATGCTGAGAACTGCAAAACTCAACCGCTGCCAAGCTATTCCAGTTGTAGAGAGATGGAAGTACCATCGTAATTTGTTTCAGTTTTGCTCGCGGCTGCCTCTAGAGATGTGCTGACCTGGGCCTCCTGCAGCTGCTCTCCTGGAATAAGGTTGCCTAAATTCTGCGTGCACAAAAAAGCAGCTTTGCGCAATAGTGCTTCCTGCTCAGGGCTGGTAACTACGGCTGCTAGAATTAGGCACAATATATATAAAGGGTATGTGGACTGCGCTTGTGCTTGCGAGGAAGAAGAAGAGGTGTCCTAAAGGCGTAGGCCTGAGTTTATACTAGAGCTCGAGTGCTGCCTTAGTTACGTGGACAGGATCCAGGTACGAACATACAGTCCTATGCTCCTCTGGCAAGGGAGGAAGGAAACGCACATCTCAAAGCGTTATTGCAGGGAGAGCGTGCTGCCTCTCTACCCGTGGCTGTTGTACGCCTCGGCTGCTAATCAGGGTAGAGGAACAGGGTTCTAGTTTTGATCCAGCCTTTGAGCTAACAGCTGCAGACAGTCGAGTTCTGTACATCGCTGTACATTGGAGTAGATGGGAGATCAAAATGTATGAACGGCTGTATTTGGACAGGCCGAAAGTCCACCTATGCCTGCATCCTGCTTCCAGCAATGATCAGTAGCAGATACTTGGCTGCTAATCAGGGTAGAGGAACAGGGTTCTAGTTTTGATCCAGCCTTTGAGCTAACAGCTGCAGACAGTCGAGTTCTGTACATCGCTGTACATTGGAGTAGATGGGAGATCAAAATGTATGAACGGCTGTATTTGGACAGGCCGAAAGTCCACCTATGCCTGCATCCTGCTTCCAGCAATGATCAGTAGCAGATACTTAGGAAGAAAGTACTGTTAATAAAAAAAAGAGAAAGACAAGTGGTAATTCTTGCAAATGTCGCCTAGCAAAATGAAATGAGTCTAAAGTTCATAAAAAAAAAAGAGAAAGACAAGTGGTAATTCTTGCAAATGTCGCCTAGCAAAATGAAATGAGTCTCTAAAGTTCATCTTCGCAATAGGTGGCAGCATAACTCTACCAGTGGAATATACGGGAACTTGTGAGGCACCACGTAAGGTGCTTCAGTTTAACTTGGTTTCAGCATCTTCGTGCCATCTAAGTAAGCTTCCTTGGGGGATTTCTTTGACCTGTGATTTTGTAACGTTAGTTTCTGTAGGGTTTTCTCATGTTTATATATTTTCTCACATGAATTTCTCACTAATTGTTGTTTCTCAAAAAAATAAGCATGCTGAAGGCATATCTGAAGTATTAACTACCTAGAGCTAAAATAGCCCAGGTCTCATAGTGAAGACCCAGAGAATTGGAGCCAAATGTGAAAGCTGTGTCTTACGAACCACCGAGCATTAGAAATGGTTCTAGATATTTGTATTCATACAGTGAGGAATGCTTTCTGAAGCCCATATAGCCTTTTTTGCAAATCAGAATAATTCATGAGGGAGCCTGCTTATCTTTCAGGATAATTTCTCTTATTTGTCTCTCTCTACTTAGTCTGAAGGTCCACAATATAGTATTTAACATCAGATCAGATATTTATCTGGCATGTCTCATGCTCAGGAACGAGTTTCCCAAGAGATGGAACATAATAAACCCATTATTTTTAATATTGATACATCCTCCCTGACTAGCGTGA